ACGATCGTGGGGATCCAGACTGTCGATCGGCATCAAAATCTCGACTTCCTTTTTTCCAACGGAAGTCGATTGGCAGGACTCTCCCGAGCACGGAAAGAGGGGCCGCACCCCGATCGGCTGCCGTATTGCAGAGATATAGCGTGCAGAAGAAACCAGTATTTTAATTATATGCCAATCTTCGAAACGCTATATCTCCGACAAATAGGGCCAGATCGGTGAAGGACCTAGTCTCCCAGAATTGTGGGGATCCAGACTGTCGATCGGCGAGACTCTCCCGAGCACGGAAAAAGAGGCCGCACCCCGATCGGCTGCCGTATTTCAGAGATATAGCGTGCAGAAGAAACCAGTATTTTAATGATATGCCAATCTTCGAAACGCTATATCTCCGACAAATAGGGCCAGATCGGTGAAGGACCTAGTCTCGCAGAATCGTGGGGATCCTGACTGTCGATTGGCAGGACTCTCCCGAGCACGGAAAGACATGCCGCACCCCGATCGGCTGTCGTATTTCAGAGATATAGCGTGCAGAAGAAACCAGTATTTTAATGATATGCCAATCTGCGAAACGCTATATCTCAGATAAATAGGGTCAGATCGGTGAAGGACCCAGTTTCCCACGATCGTGGGGATCCAGACTGTCGATCGGCATCAAAATCTCGACTTCGAAAATGAGCCCGATTTTTGGCAAATTTAATGATGTAACCATCATGATTTTTTGCGAAAATCGTGAAAAAATGGATGTCCTTTTTTCCAACGGCAGTCGATTGCCAGGACTCTCCCGAGCACGGAAAGAGGGGCCGAACCCCGATCGGCTGCCGTATTGCAGAGATATAGCGTGCAGAAGAAACCAGTATTTTAATTATATGCCAGTATTTTAATGATATGCCAATCTGCGAAACGCTATATCTCAGATAAATAGGGTCAGATCGGTGAAGGACCCAGTTTCCCACGATCGTGGGGATCCAGACTGTCGATCGGCATCAAAATCTCGACTTCGAAAATGAGCCCGATTTTTGGCAAATTTAATGATGTAACCATCATGATTTTTTGCGAAAATCGTGAAAAAATGGATGTCCTTTTTTCCAACGGCAGTCGATTGGCAGGACTCTCTCGAGCACGGAAAGACATTCCGCACCCCGATCGGCTGCCGTATTGCAGAGATATAGCGTGCAGAAGAAACCAGTATTTTAATGATATGCCAATCTGCGAAACGCTATATCTCAGATAAATAGGGTCAGATCGGTGAAGGACCCAGTTTCCCACGATCGTGGGGATCCAGACTGTCGATCGGCATCAAAATCTCGACTTCGAAAATGAGCCCGATTTTTGGCAAATTTAATGATGTAACCATCATGATTTTTTGCGAAAATCGTGAAAAAATGGATGTCCTTTTTTCCAACGGCAGTCGATTGGCAGGACTCTCTCGAGCACGGAAAGAGGGGCCGCACCCCGATGGGCTGCCGTATTTCAGAGATATAGCGTGCAGAAGAAACCAGTATTTTAATGATATGCCAATCTTCGAAACGCTGTATCTCCGACAAATAGGGCCAGATCGGTGAGGGACCTAGTCTCCCAGGATCGTGGGGATCCAGACTGTCGATCGGCGAGACTCTCCCGAGCACGGAAAGAGGCGCCGCACCCCGATCGGCTGCCGTATTTCAGAGATATAGCGTGCAGAAGAAACCAGTATTTTAATGATATGCCAATCTTCGAAACGCTATATCTCCGACAAATAGGGCCAGATCGGTGAAGGACCCAGTTTCCCACGATCGTGGGGATCCAGACTGTCGATCGGCGAGACTCTCCCGAGCACGGAAAGAGAGGCCGCACCCCGATCGGCTTCCGTATTGCAGAGATATAGCGTGCAGAAGAAACCAGTATTTTAATTAGATTCCATTCTTCGAAACGCTATATCTCCGACAAATAGGGCCAGATCGGTGAAGGACCTAGTCTCCCAGAATCGTGGGGATCCAGACTGTCGATCGGCGAGACTCTCCCGAGCACGGAAAGAGGCGCCGCACCCCGATCGGCTGCCGTATTTCAGAGATATAGCGTGCAGAAGAAACCAGTATTTTAATGATATGCCAATCTTCGAAACGCTATATCTCCGACAAATAGGGCCAGATCGGTGAAGGACCCAGTTTCCCACGATCGTGGGGATCCAGACTGTCGATCGGCGAGACTCTCCCGAGCACGGAAAGAGGGGCCGCACCCCGATCGGCTGCCGTATTGCAGAGATATAGCGTGCAGAAGAAACCAGTATTTTAATTATATGCCAATCTTCGAAACGCTATATCTCCGACAAATAGGGCCAGATCGGTGAAGGACCTAGTCTCCCAGGATCGTGGGGATCCAGGCTGTCGATCGGCGAGACTCTCCCGAGCACGGAAAGAGGGGCCGCACCCCGATGGGCTGCCGTATTTCAGAGATATAGCGTGCAGAAGAAACCAGTATTTTAATGATATGCCAATCTTCGAAACGCTATATCTCCGACAAATAGGGCCAGATCGGTGAAGGACCCAGTTTCCCACGATCGTGGGGATCCAGACTGTCGATCGGCATCAAAATCTCGACTTCGAAAATGAGCCCGATTTTTGGCAAATTTAATGATGTAACCATCATGATTTTTTGCGAAAATCGTGAAAAAATGGATGTCCTTTTTTCCAACGGCAGTCGATTGGCAGGACTCTCCCGAGCACGGAAAGAGGGGCCGAACCCCGATCGGCTGCCGTATTGCAGAGATATAGCGTGCAAAAGAAACCAGTATTTTAATGATATGCCAATCTTCGAAACGCTATATCTCCGACAAATAGGGCCAGATCGGTGAAGGACCTAGTCTCGCAGAATCGTGGGGATCCTGACTGTCGATTGGCAGGACTCTCCCGAGCACGGAAAGACATGCCGCACCCCGATCGGCTGCCGTATTGCAGAGATATAGCGTGCAGAAGAAACCAGTATTTTAATGATATGCCAATCTGCGAAACGCTATATCTCAGATAAATAGGGTCAGATCGGTGAAGGACCTAGTCTCCCACGATCGTGGGGATCCAGACTGTCGATCGGCATCAAAATCTCGACTTCGAAAATGAGCCCGATTTTTGGCAAATTTAATGTGTAACTATCATGATTTTTTGCGAAAATCGTGAAAAAATGGATGTCCTTTTTTCCAACGGCAGTCGATTGGCAGGACTCTCCCGAGCACGGAAAGACATGCCGCACCCCGATCGGTCTATAAATAGTCGAGATATAACCAAAGATAAAATGACAAAATCGGCCATTTTGGTCGTTGGAGAACATTTGTTTTTTTCTAATTTTAGATGTAGAACAATTAACAACAACAGCAGACTGATCGAAAAAATGTACCCGACTGAATGGAGCCCTTATCAAGGATCCAGGATATTTTTCCCAATCAAACATATGTATCAGTATTTATTTATTTATTTTAATATTCGACAACGGAATCAAAATAATCCTTAACTTACTTATTTTGTATCTTAAATAATAACACAAAAGAAAAAATTACAAAATCATACATGAAATAGGAAAAAATCTATCAACCGTCTGATGGGAAAGGGGATCCTTTCCCCTGGAAAAACTCAAATCGCATCCCAGCTGGCCACGCATTGTCCTAGCGAAGAGCCTAACAGATTGACTCATTATTGCCATAGTTGGTCCGGTGGAGATCAGCCACGAAGGGTGCAGGGGTCCTTGGGCTCCTTGCAGGCATACTCAAGCCAATACTACTAAGCAGGTCTGGTTCTTCCATACTAGAGGGAGGTGCACGAGGCGAAATCTGCAACCTTTCTGGATGCCATGATGGGCTACAGCTTCAAAACGCGTAAGTGATTCAGTATATAATTGTGGACTTATTTTAAAATATATCTTCTTTCACAGAGGACTTATGTACCCTAGGATTTACCTCAAACCGAGCTGCATCCGATTTCCCCCGCCAAACGGAGTCCTATCCAAGAATTAACGAGGCGTTTTCGAGACAGACCGAGTCCTATCCCACCCCTACAAAATCCGAACCCAACAAGCCGTCTTCATCCGTCGACCTGGCCATCGACAACAAGGACTTTGACTATGGCAACCAAGGGAGGATCTCGTTGGTGTTAGGTTTAGGGATATAAACGCCTATACATTTAGATAGTAAATATAAATGTTTTCCACTTGTTTATTGTTTATTTACTTGTACTAAGCTAAGTTTCGATGAATAAAACTATTGAAATATCATCCTTGCTGTATTCTGTATTGGGGGAACTATTCCGATTACAGAAAGGCGTGGTACGCCCAGATCGGTTCACAAATAGCGGAAACTACAAAATGTTTTTGATTAGGGAAAAGGTCCTTGATCCATGATAATTACTCCATTAAATCAGAGACATTTTGTCGATCACTGGATATCATCGCACGCCCAGATCGGCCCACAAATAGCCGAGAAAATTAAATATGTATGGTTGGGGCTGTTGTAGTCCTTTCCGAAGGATCAAAGACATTTTTCAGATCACAGCGGGCCATGGCAGAAAACAAGATATATTTGTCTGTAGAAAATATCCTTGATCCTTGGTCCTTGATAAGGAATGCATTAGATCAAGGAAGCTATTCCGAGCCCAGGAAGACGTCGCACGTCCGCATCGTGCCTCAAATAACGGAGAAAAAAAACAAGAGTTGTTGCTGCTCGATTTTTTGTAAATTTAAAATTGTATCCATCATGATTCTGGCAAAAATCGTGCTAAAGTGTATGTCCTTCTTTCTGATGCTAATCGATTGTCATAACTCTCCTGGCAAAGAAAAGGTACACCACGCCCAGAGCGGGAAGCAACCTATAGTACTACATCTCAGTTACGTTTTTTGTGAAATCAATCATTTTCTTTGGTTTCATAGCAAGAAACTTTGATGATGACATGGCGGCCAGCATTCCATAGCAGCCAGCTAATGCCAACCCTTGCCAACCGCACCTCCCGGCAGCAAACAAACCTCCCCCATTCAAACAAGAGAGATTTCTTTCCATTATAAATGTCTGTAATTTGTTCAGATACATACATACATAGATTGGTTCATTGCTTGATTTCGTTTTGGTTAATTTCTGCGAATTGCATACTAAAATTAAATTACTTCAGTAGCTGCTTTTCGTTCCGCTCATATCCGTGGCATATTGTAGCAGTGTACAAATAAATCTTACGATTATGATATTGCTGTCATAAATTATTAAATCTAAATCAAACACTAAAGTACGGGGCGGGGGCAGGGCATGCGATATGTTGTATTGGCGATCAATCGATCCGATAGCAGCGTGCTTTGTAGTGCTGCTAAGCCGAACAACGCACACGCAATCAGACCCGACCGCTACTAAATCTAAATCAAATAATTTACAATACTTCTTCATGTTCATGTGACCGACGACGAGTGGATGTGATAAATTTAAATGAATGTCCGTCCCCCGTCGAAGGGTGCGCGAGCGGGGGAGTCGACTGAATCGAGTGAGGGCTACGGCTAAGAGGCTATTGGCTATGGCTAAGCGCTAGATTCATACACGTCTACATAAATATATCACAAAATCAGTGAAATGAAAATTCGCTGGAGTATTTGCTTGTTTCGCTTTGGATGATGCATGAGATGAATGCAAATGAATGCAGTGATTGGCAATGCTGGGCACATCTCCTGTCCTCTTTCTCTTTCTCTTCCTATTCCTATTCATATTCCTATCCTGTTCCTATCCTATCCTGTACTGTCCTTTCCTTTCGTCAGCAGCGGATCGGCGTCTGTCATCTGAAGCTGATGCCGCACTTGCGACTGATCTTGGGCGTGTGTATGTAGGCAATCGAGAGCAGAAGCGGCACATCGTTCTCGGAGAGCTGCAGCGGCGTGGTAATGTCACTCAACCGACATGGATCCGTCTCGAGCAGAAAGGCGGCCAACGTCTCCGACTGTAGATAGATTTCCTGCAGCTTCGACTCCAGAAACGACAGGCACTACAAATTAAATACAAAATCCATTTAAGTAAAGATTACGACAGAGTCTGGTTAGTGATTTGTCTACCTCATAGGCGGGTATGCCGCCAGCGTGCATGGCCTGAACGGTTTCCAGCATGCTCGAAACTAGCTGCGACATGCCCACGGGCGAGCTCTGGCCTCCGGCATAGGGAAACTGCTGGGCCTGCGACGAGATCAGGCGCACATCCCACTTGTCCATGTCCGCCACAATGGCAATATTCTCCGCCGGCTGTGAGATGAGTGAGGCCGAGCGTGCAGCCAGTGCCAGGTCCTCGCGCAGATGCATTTCCCACTTATTTGGCGGTGCACACGTCCCCTGCGGAGATGAGAACAAAGCTTGGGTTAGAATTGTTACAATTTGTAACCTTCAAAGAGGTTTTCTCACCTGCAGCACCATGTCGGAGACATAGTGATCGCTGACGCTCAGCATCAGCGAGGGAATGAAACCCGCTCGCAGCTGATCGCCCGGCGGCTCATCGTCCTGCGGCAGTTCCTTGATGCCAGGCACGGGTAGCTTCAACAGCTGCTGGGACACATTCACGGCCGCGCACTTCGCGGCCACCGAGGAGACGGAGCTGCGACCCGAGGGCACCCGCTTGGGCTGCTGTTTTCGCGTGAATCCCGTCTGCGTTACCACCGCTGGCTGGGGAGGTTCTGGTGCGGACTTGAGGGTATCTATGGAGGCAGCAGAGTTGACCGGCTGCAGGGTTCTGCTGCTCTGATTCTGATTCTGATTATAGCAATGCACCTCATCCGTCTCAAACTCCAGTTCGGTGGCATTGGATGGCGTCTGGTAGGTCGCCGAGGAGCTCATCATCCCACCGCTGCTGCAGACAATGCACCGCTCGCTGCCCACTGCCGGCGTTGCGCTGGGATTGGAGTTGGGACTGGGTCCGATTGAGCTGCTGCTGGCCGCCAGCTCAGGATGCTGATGGAGTGTCACGCTGCTGTCGCTCGACTTGAGGGCAGCCTCACTCGCCTCTAGCTTGGTGGCCTTGTCCATTAGCAGATCGTAGTTGTTGGACAGCACCAGGTTCTTGCTCTTCATGTAGTTGGTGGCTATCTGGGGATACTGCTCAAAGTTGAACTTCATGCCCGAGTGCTTCTTGGCCATGCTGGCCACGTCGTGGGTGCGCTGATGCTGGGCACACAGCATGAGCGTGGCGGGGGCCTGCTTTGCGTCGTCGGTGAGATCTTCGTTGCTCTTCTTGAGATTGATCAGCGGCTCGTTGTCGCCCAGGACGAAGACCACACCATTGCCATTATCCGCGCCGGTCTGCCTGCAGATGCCATGCTCCCGCTCGATCAGCTTGTGGCAGTGATCGAAGTGGATCTGCTCCTCCAGGCTGACGTTCTCCTTTATGGGCTCAATGCCCCACGTCATGCGATCGCTCTTCCCCATGCTATTCTGCGTGATGAGGGCCGACAACGACAGATGCGAGGCGCGCCTCTCGTGGGTGAGCGGCTCAAAGTCGCCCGCGTCCAGGGCTCCCCGTTTTTCGATGGCATCTGGATTTCCCTCGACGGAGTAGCTGCTGCAGCGCCGCTCCAGCTTTCGGTTCATGATCTTAATGCCCTGCTGAAGCTTGGCCAGATCAAGGCTCAGACCATCCTTCACAACCGCCGCCATGGGCACCATGTTCCACAAGAAGTTCTTCTTGGCTGTGGCTGTGGCTGTAGCTGGTGGTGTTTCCGTGGCATCGTCGAACTCGATGGCTTCGATGGCCCCATCATCGATGCTGCCGCCGCCTGTGCCAACGGATCCCGATCCCGATCCGTTTGACTCATCCTCCATGCACAGCTCCACATTGTCGGGCGTGGTTACCGTCAGACGTATCCGGCCATCCTTGCCGGTGCGAAAGTACTGCTGCGCCTGTCGGGCCAGCAGCGTCTTTTTGTCGATGCCCGTGTCCATCAAATAGTTGCCAATACGCAGCTCCTGCTGCACAAAATGGGAGTCGCGGAAGGCCAGGACAGTGGGTATCTCGTTCTTTTTCAGCGTCTGCATGCCGTCCTGATCTGCCTGATCTTCAAGCCCCAGATCCCTCTCGTCCTCATCCTCGTCTCCGCAGCAGTCGAGCAGCACCTCCCCCCCATCATCCACATCGTCCGCAATGGCATTCAGATTCTGTTTGCAGGTGGCCACTCGGCTCAGACCGCCCGCACGGCGCAGCTGCGAGGGTGGACTCTTGTGCCGCTCCTGGCTCTGATGGTGGTTCTGGCTCTGGTTGACCAGATCGTTGATCAGCTGCTTGTTAAAGTCCTCCCGCTTGGCCGTGCGACGCACCTCGCTGCAGCGTATAAAGTACGTGAGGACATTGAGGAGCTTCTCCACCCACAGCTTCTCCGCTCCATAGATGATGGTGCGCACCAGCTTCGGGGGCATCCCAATGGCCCCATACAAGTCCCCCAGCTGCGCCCACAGGGCGTTGTAAGGGTGCTTCTGGGCCACCTGCAGGAGCTTGGCCCTCTGTTCAATGGCTGCGGAGGCCGCAGAGGCGTCCGATCGCCTTGAGCCTGAACTGTTGAAGGCTGAAACGGTGGCCACCCAGCCCAGATGGTAGGTGAGAATCCCCGTCAACATTGTGCTGATGAAGCTGCACAAACAAGAGCGATTAGTACATCCTCAGAAAGGGAATGGAGTGCTCTTACAAATTGGAATCCTTGGTATCGGCAAAGGACAGCAAATCACAGAGTTCCTTAATGAAGCGTTCGGCCACAGTCTTGGAGTACTTGCTGCCGCTGGTGGTGATGCTCAGCCAGACAGGGGTCTTGATGCGTGGCGCCGTGAAGAGATCGTTGAACCACTGCTGTGTATCCTGCCAGGCCTGGAACATGATCTGTGGGAGGAGAGAGACTGCTATTTAGACGCATTTCAATGGCTTTCAATGCTGGTGATGGCTTACCTGCAAAAAGTTCTTGTGATTGATGTAGGCGTGCTCTGTGCTGGCCCTGAGACGACTCAGCATGGACTCGAGCAGGGCAATGTGCTCGCTGCAGAAGAGCTCCATCTCCTCCTCGAAGGACTCGCTCATGGTGATGCACACGGCCAGTCCCAGCTTGGCCCGACGCCTCAGATTGGCCTGCCGACGTCCCATCTCGGGATTGCTACGCGACTCGTTCGCACAGTAGCTGGCGCGCCTGTACTGCGGTGGAGCCATGCCACCGCCTTCGCTGCCACCGGCCCCGCCATTGCCCGATCCCTGGCTCGAGCTGCCGCCATTGGCCTGCGTGTAGTTGTCGCTGAGGAAGCCGATAAAGTCGTTCCTGGAATGCTCGTTCTCGAAGGAGGTGCGCAGGTTGCGCGAGATTCGTCGCTGCAGGCAGCCGTCGCTGGCAAACTCCTCCAGGTGCGGGGAGCTGGCCGAGAAGGCCGAGTCCATGCTCAGCTTTCGCATGGCATCCGACTGGTCGGACATCACGCTGCCCAAGCTGCTGCGTGTGGAATACTGATACGACCACTGATCTCCGCTCGAATAGGGACCACCCGCACCACTCCCACTCCCACTGCCGCTGGCCGAGTAGCCCGAGTCCGTGGCATTGCTGTACGTCGAGGAGTACCGCGGGCCGCTCGAATCGCTCGAATGGACTGTCGACAGCGACTGCTGGTCCGGGGCAGGCACATCGAGGGGCGGCGTCAGGCTCATCTGGCGACCCACGCACACGCTGAAGGGCATGGAGAAGGAGTTCATCGAGAGGCCATCCATGGAGCCGTGCTCGCTGCAAATGGAGCTGCGGGGCGTGGCCAGGCTGTTCATCGAGAGCGTCGAGTAGGGCGAGTGGCCTGCTCCACCGATGCTGCTGCTGCTCGTGGGCGTCAGGTACACCTGCGAGCACAGGATTCGCGCCGGTTCCGGCAGCCAGTGCACCTTGAGAGCGGTTCCACAGAAGGACATCGGCAGCGAGCCAAAGACCATCTCGCCCAGTGGCGTGATATCCGCTCCCGAGGGGCGATTGTGCTGCAAAGGGATTCTCATTACGATCGGGATTCTCTTGGCCGGAGTGTGTGTGTGTGACTCACCTTGTAGCCGTACTCGGGGCACACATCGATAAAGTTGCTGCCATTGCTGCTGGAATGTGCCTTGGCCTGGATCTTGCCGTTTTGCAGCGATGTGTACTTTTCATTCTTCACGAATTTCCCAGTGGCCGACGAGGGGACGGACGTTGAGGCCTCCTTGTGCGTCACCTTCTGCAGGGCATTGGAATCGAAGAGCAGGCGACGAGTGTCATCCTCTTTATAGAGCAGCACACGCACTTGGCTGCCCTCGAAGGGGAATCGACTGCAAATAGGGGGACAAAATATCGATTTAATAGAGGCACAAAACATATTTGTTTCCCAAAGTGACTGAAAATTGTACAATCATGCTCATTCATAAAAAAATCGGTTAACAATAGTTATACGCATGCCTCTGGCGGTATTTCTTTGTAATCACGAGTCACACTGACGGCTCTGATTACTTTTTGGGAGGCCCCCCCCCTCCCCACACCTCAATGGCCACTATCGACAACCGTTGACCATCTTAAGAGTTCCCCTCGAGGGTCCACCCCCATAGACGCTTGGGTGTCGCAATGACGAGATCTATTATAATGCGCACATCTTTCAATGTCCCCCTCTCTCTATCTCTCTCTTTCTCGTGTACTTGCTGTGTCTCTCTCCCTCTCCCTCTCCTTCTCCCTCTCTCCCTCTCTGTTGATTGTTCATTTCGATTAAATGGCAAATGCGAGACGATGCTCTATATATAGCGAGGCAAGTATTTTGGCACGTGACACGTGGATTACTCATGCCCCAAAGCGACTTCATTTGGACCTGGCCACGGGCATGCACTGACAAGTACATGTGTACAAATCCTGTCCAGGAATTGGGTGTAGTACAAGAGAATCCATCACTACCATTCCCAGATATGCCACGCACCTGTTCGAGCAGTTGCTTCTCCTTCAACGGAATTTGAGCTGATTTATTTTTAGTGGGTTTATAAATGGCTTGTCTAAGTAGCGCTAAGGCGCCTCTGACTCTGCCGCTGCCTCTGCCTCTCCAGAAATTAGCGCTATAATTAACAATTAGCTCAATATGTCGATGATAGTTTCTTCGACACTGGAGTAGGGACGGAGAAGGAGAGGCAGGGGCAAGGGGCAGAGGGGGCAGACGGGGAATTTGGGGGCCCAACATGTTTTAGAGCTTCATAAATGTTTTATAGCCTCCCCAGCCGATAAGATGGTGGGGGCCAACGTTGAACGTTGCTTTGACTGGAAGCCGGTACGGCACCACCGTACGCACCGAGAGAGATTACCCATGGAACGGTATAAGGTAGGGTGCGGTATCGTTTGGGCGGGACGGCGGTGTCCATTGGTGTCTGGCCGTGTCCGGCCGTGTCCGGCTCTGTCCGCGGCTGCTTTCTGTGTTGGTTTGAAGTCACGAGTGTGCACCACCGAACTGGATATAAATTCACGACTAAAAGACCGCTGGACGGTTGTCGGGGTCGGCCTGTTTCTTTGAGGATTGAGGCCAATTAGGCTCAGGCTAGACTGGATGGCTTTCTGACTGTCTGGGGTGGTTTACTTGTATTTGAAAGGCGGCGTAGGCATGCGGCAAGGAGTGATTCCAGTGTCCCGTTACAGCTTCCAGCTACAATTGCAGTTGCCGGTGAAGGTGCAGGTGCAGACAGTTCAGTGTTCACGGATTAGGTTCTGCTCCGTTCTGTTTGGACGGACGGACCGACGCCTGGGCTGATATCTTTATAGCTGCGATGCTAGTCAACAAATGAAGTTCAAGGCGTTTCGCCACAGCAGTGACAGTGACGGTTGTCACTGGAATGGCATTGGCGATGGCGACAACGTCTCGGACTCGGTAGTCGGATCGGGAATCGGGAATTCGTCAGAGGTCCCGTGCTGAGGCTTGTACGGCGGCGGGCAGAGAGAGACAGAGACTGATTACGGGGGGCACTCGCATATGCATTATAATAAAACCTGCCCTACTCTGTCCCGCACCTTGCCCCATGGCCTGCCCAATCGATATACATATGATATACCACCACTCATACTATGCACACTCGCACACACCATAGAGCGCTAGATAGTTAGATAGATAGATAGATAGATAGTACGAGCAACGATCCTAAACTAGGCGGCCGCCTTCGTCGTTTAACCGAGCGTTGGATGGATGGGGCATGGGGCATCCAATTTGGAGCGCGCTGCTGCCGCTGCTGGCGCTGCTCACATGACTCGCTCGGTCACCGGCCGTCGGATCCGTCCAGCTGGGTGCGCACACGACTGAATCAAATCCGAGAGCCGAGCCGAACCGAAAACAGAGTCAAAGTCGAACGAGCATCATGTGCTCCATCGTCGGCCGGCCATTTGTTGCTTGTCAAAGACGGATGTGTTAATATTTTGTTTAACAAAAAAAAAAAACAACAACACCAGCAATGGAGGGAAAACAAAGAGAAAGGAACACAAGTATTCGGCCAGAAAAGAAGACAGCGATGAATGACTGTTTGATGGATTCGTTGAGAGACAGACGTTCGGCCACATTAGATCGAAGGCCAAATACCCTTCTGCGCTTCTGCTGCTCTCGAAGCCAAGGTTCAAAGCTGCTAGTCGGTGGTAGGGGAGGAGGAGGAGGGGCGGGGGCGAAGCGGAGCCTGACCTGGCCAAGAGAAAAAGCCAAGCCAACACAAAAGAGATCTGCGCGAAAGCAATTATCGGACGTCCGCTAAGCAGAGACAGAGACAGCAAAAGAGACAGAGACAGAGACAGAGAGAGAAACAGAGACAGAGGCCAGGGCAGGCAGGCAGGCAGGCAGGCAGGCACTGTTTATTCTATTCTTTCGTTGCTTTTATTTTCATTATTTTCTTTCGCTGGGGGCCACCGCCACCGATGGGATGGTCCCTCCCCCCTCCCCCCAGGGGGGATCAGCGGCATTCACTTGGATCACATGCTTTTTTCAGCTACGCAAGCAAAAACAAAAGCAAGCCAACAGCCAAACAAAAATTAAGCAAATACATGCAGACCTCAAGAGTACACATGCACATACATGCATACATAATGAGTGAGAGCCAGTGTGCGGGTGTGTGTGTGTGTGGTAGTGTGTGGGTATGCTGCGGCCAGCACTTGAAGCAAGGTGTTCTTGTGCAAGGTGGAGTGCGGCAAGTGGCCTACATTTCTTTGGCTTTCTTTGTGCTCTCTTCAGAGAGTAGCCTTTGACCATGCCTCACCCCCACCTAAAGACACCTTGCAGTTGAAGACACTCGGCTGCTCTGCGCTCTCTCTCTCTCGCTCTCCTTGCGGACTGTATTTTGATTGATTTGATCGCGTATATTTATAAAGTAGGTGGTGGGGTGGGACGGGCCAGTATCCGAAGCAGGGCCAAGTGGCATTCGAGTGGGTGACAATTGTTATCGGGCTTTGGGTGGGATTATGCTTTGATTAGCCCTTGGATTTTCCATGCCTCAAGAGAGACGCGACGCCAATGATTGATATGGGAAAACTACACCAAACCGGAACGGCAACGAAGCCGTGGAACGCCACAGACGATAAGCGAAATGTGTTTCAAACTTTTGCCCCACACACATCCATCAATAGTTGGAGTGTGGTGTGGTGTGGTGCGGCACAGTCGAGCTCCTCTGAAGCGAATCACTGCACATTGGAGTCTGCAAATTCGGCATGCAGAAGCTTCCCTGTTCCCTGTTCTGTCTACACGTGTCGGCTACTGGTCGCCGGAAGAGAGGGGCCGGAGGGGGGGGAGGTGGAGGAACCAACAATTATTCTAATCAAATCAACAACTGTTAATGACTTTACAGAGCGTGTCTGTCTCTGTTTTCTCCCTCTCTCTGTCCTCTTTGTCTGTCTTCCTCTGTCTTTAGCTCGCTCCGTCTGTCTGTCTGTCTGTCTATCCGTCTGTCTGCCTGTGTGAGTGAGTGAAAGAGAGCGTGGCAAATAAAAGCAAAGCACAGATTTCCAAAGCGACGACAACAAAGCACAGGCACAGTAAAGCAAAGCAAAGCGAAAACCACAGCAGCAGCAGCAGCAGCAAAAGCAACAAAAGCAACAACCAGTTGCTCCATTCAACAAGTCACATGACCCAACCCAACCAACAACCACGATGGCGACGATGGCGACGTTTGGAGACTTTGGTGACGCTGGGAGACGTTGGCGACGACGACGACGACGACGACAGCGACAACGACAATGGAAATGGAAATGTACAAATGGGGGGAATAACAAGGGGCGCAGCAGCTGCCCAACAAATTGTCTATCATTATCAACGGCCTATTATAAACAGTTATATACTATATACTATATATATATATATATGGTCTTATATTATATGTAAGTCTACTCTCGTATATCCCTCAATTGTTGTCCAGTGTGCGAGCAACGACCTTCACCTTCACCTTCACCCCCACTGCCACCTGGGCAGGGAAGTGTGTGCAAATAATGAATGTCAAGTTCAAGGCAATTCGGCAAAATCCGCTTCCTCTGGCTGTGCGAATAGAGGGAGGGGGGGGGAGTGGTGGGCCAGGCGCAACATAAGATATTTATCAGCCATGCAAACAGACGGACGGACGACGGCCGGAGCACACACCAGAGCCCCAGAGCCCAGTGCCCGTCTCCGTATGTTGCTCACAATACTAATGAGCAAATGACGACAAAAATATCGAGTGATTTTCATTGTCACTTGAGACCAATGCAAACAGACCTCACCAGACGGCAACAACGTTGACAACCGATCGAGGTCTGGAGGAGGGCGGCGGCCCAATCAATCAATGAATGCCCCCCCACCAGAGGCGGAGGCGGAGGCAGTGCCATGTGTGGGCGTTCTGCGGGGCACTTGTGACACCTGGCAAACACACACACACACGCACAGCAGAATAACAGATAGTGACTCAAGTGCTGGGAGCCCCTGAAAGCGATGTGAGATCACGGATCAACATCCATTTTTTAGTACGGAATCATCTTTGGTACACAGATGACGACATCTAGTCGATCTTTTTGTGTTTCACCTTAATCCAACAATGTATCATCATCCTCATCATCAGCAGCAGAGACGAGTAGAAAATAGAGAAACTTCCGTCACTTTCAAGGAAATACTCGTATATAGAAATGTTAATGAAAAGATTGCGGGCTTGAGGGATCAATTAAAACTGTTTCCATTGAGCAAAGAGCAAAGCAAACCAAAGCCAAGAGCATTAAATGATTAATGAAACAAAGAGCGAGAGAGAGAGAGCGAAAGCCCTTGAAGATAAAGCAGAATCCGAGTTCTTTGTTAGCTTTTTCATAATACATATACATATGTAGACCTCGAGGTCTGCGACTGAAGTACGGATCACAAATTGTTGACCCCCGAGAGTATGGGCTACTACTATCTGAACGATCTGTTCAGTTTCTGTTTCGGAAACTTAATACAAAAAAAAAACAATAACAGTCATACATCCAGTGGCATTTATTTACACAATTGTTGACTCAAATCTCATAATATTTCCATGAATTTCAAGTGCTTTGGCTTTGGTTTTCCGGAGCTAAGACAAAGGCAAATACAATAGTAACCCGAGCCGTACAGATAATTTAAATATAGCTAATGAATGGCAGATATTCGGAATTGGCTTAGCAGTGGTCGGTGGGCAGGTGGGCGGGGGGGCTGGGCATGGCTTCTGTTAATAGATCTTTCGGCTTAAATTAGGGCTCCGACCGTGCCTTTTGTACTTGCGGGTACTTTCGGGCGCTTACTTTGTTTGTTTGCTCATTATCAGGCGGCGGCAGTAAAAAAAAAACAACAACAACAAAAAATAAAGGTATGACTATTTTATTTTTATTTATTTTTGTCAACCTGATAATGAGTGACAACAACGATGCGGCAGAGGCGGCAGCGGCAACAGACAAAGCAGCGCTGGATAGGAATCGGCCTGGGCATACCGCGGAGATACCCATTACCCAGACCGTAGTGCAGCAAAGCATATACCCAACCTTTACAGGGTACAAAACTGGATAAGCGCCGACGTCGACGACTCACTCATATGACTTGGCAGACCACGCGACTTCACACATGAACCCAAGCCCCCACACAGCCCCGCGGCACACCCGCGCCTCCACTCACTGTGTTGCCATTTAAATGTGCTGATTTCTGTTTGCCCCCTCCTCTCCGCCGTGCGCCCATACTCGGAACACAACAACAGCAGATGGCTGGCTTCTAGTGTGACTTCTCTTTATTCATAACTCAATGATGAGGGCACGAGGCAGGGGATGATACTATTTTTGGATACATTTATTTGGCCAGACAAGATGGCACCACATCACATCACATCACATAAACATATATATATCGTTACGATCGTTACGATCGATGTAAGTTCGATGGATTCACACCTGTGCCGCGACAGTCCCCCACTCCACGCCACACCACACCATGCCACGCCACCCCACCCCACGCCACTCCACTCCACTCCACGGTGGAGAGCACCGTTTTGATTGATGTCTGATGTCTGGAGGGGCAGTGTTTGGCCAAACAATTTGCGGGCACTTATCGAGCACTATTAATGAATTTCTAATTTACGACTCATTTGGCATGACACTAAGCCGGCGAAAAGGCTCTAAGTGGAATCATCAATAATGGTTCACTCCTAGGCGGCGGCGGCATTCATTCAGGCATTCAGTCGGTCGGTCGGTCAGTCGGTCGGTCGGTCGGTCAGTCGCTGCCAGTTGGACAGTTGATGAAAGAGATTGATATGTGATATGTGATTTGTGAATTGTGATTTGTGGAGCTATCAGCGCTTTGTTCGCTTTATTTAATCGCCAATCAGAGGGATCTTGTGTAGTGCTTCACACGTGCCTGAAGCTGCCATCGGATCTTTGGAGGGCTTTTCTTAGCCCATATGCGCACACAATGGGAATCTGTTGGCACAAAGTTTTCCACCCTTGGTGCTAATTTCCTGCCGAATATCGAATCATCCGAAACGAAAGCCAAGACAGCCGCTCGCAGCCAGTTGGCGATTCGCGATTTCGATCTGCGATCTGCGATCTGCGATTCGCGATTCGCGGGGTGTATGAAATCACAATTTGTATATAGAGGTGGAGCTGGAGGTGCTGTTCGGCTGTTTGCTCGATATGGTCTTTTTGCGTGAAATCCCCGAACTTATCGGGAATTAATACCAGCCCGCTAATAGCTGCTATATGGTGTGTACATATACATACATACATATGTACGTTCACATGTGTATATTTTTGGACAGACCGTACGATGTCTCCGTGTGTGGATGGATATCTGGGGAATGACTTGCGAATTGGGTTAAGGAATTTTCGAATGCGCCTTGCCTTCTTCTGAGGCACATGATGGACCCCCGCCTCCGTCTGGTTTTGTTTTTTTGCTACCCATATATCGAAAATTTAATACAATTTTTTTATGGCTCTCTTGTCATGTGACCAACTGGCTAGCAAATGTCTAAACATGGTCACGATCTGGTGGTGCTGTTGTTCATATGATTCACGGCGACATTTGGTTGATTCACTTCAGGTGTCCAGACCTTGAAAACGTATGGAACGAATGGTGTGTATGGTGTATCGTATCGTCTCGTATCTTATAGTACAGTATCGTATAGAAATTTCCAGAATTTAATTTTTCTGGCTTTTCTTCTAGTGTGTGTGTGTGTGTGTGTTTCTCTCTCTATCTCTATCTCTCTTTTATTCTTAGACGGAAAGTATTTATAAACCACTTCTTTTGGCCACGAAACACACAGACCAAGCAAAAATATGAACGATAAGTGGGGGTTCAGGCGGTTTTTAGTCATCTGTCATGGAAAATTACCCCAGAGGGGGAGGGTGGGGCGCGGCAGCGACTGTTAAACAGTAACAGTAAATAATGCCAAGTGGAGTTAATTTTTATTAATAATCGTTTTGTGTGTGTGTAAGCGTTTATTTAGTTTACAGCGAGTCAAAAAACCTGACCTACTACAAAGATAGCGGCCCGAAGGGAGGATGGAAGAGAATGAGAGGGTGTGAGGTGTGGGAGTTGGTCGAGCCAGCTGTCAACACTACGGTTTACGGGGTTTTGTTTTTTTTTTTTTTTGTTTCTCCTGTTATTTTTATTTTAAAGTGTTCAAAGTGCAAAAACCCCGCGCTTAATTAGCAGAGCGAAAAAGCTTCTATCACGTGATGGCGCGCTCGAATGCTGCCTGGCACATAAAAGCATGGACAGGCGCGGCCATAAAAGTATATACACCCCGCGGGTATTGGTCAATAACCACTCGAATCTGACAATTTCACCATTACCCTATATATATATATATATACATACATATATACCTATACATGTATATAGTATATAGAGATATATGGAGCTGTTGTTGCCTACTGGCACCCGCTGCCGTCGTGTTATCGGTCAGACCCATTAAACTGGGCGCTAATCAAGTCGATCGAAAGATTATGGCCGAAACGAAAATGTAGGGGACAGCGTTTCGTATGCAAATGAAAATTGCAGTGCACCCACTCCGGCGCCCACCGCTGTTAGATCCAGTTAGAGTTCCCAATCAGAGCAGCCCACCCACACACACACATGCTCTTTGTACCCATCCCGCGCGCACGAGTGTCAAAAATCAACATTGTAAAGGCAGCATAAATAATAAAGAAATGAATTAACGGCAACCCACAAGAGCCAACACAGCGAGAGCGAAAGGGATAGAGCAGTAGAAGCAGCGAGAGCGAAAGAGAAAGAGCAGCAAAAACAATGTGTATGACATAATAATCACGAGAGCAGGCCGCGAGCGCCGATTAGCAAGTCATGTGATTCGCTTTTATTTACATTTGCGCCTGACGTTGCCGCCGCCGCCATCCGCTACCGCTTCCCGCTCACCTATCAGCGAACGCCCACAGACCACAGACCAAGCAGAGCGAGCAAGAGAGCAAGAGAATCAGGTTGAGAGTGAGACGGCGCGCACGAGGCGATAACGAAGAGAGAGAAGAATAAAACGAAGGGGGGCACAGTTGTTTGCGCGCGCAGCTCAATCGGGGGGCGGGGGCGGTGGCGGGGGGAATAGAACATTGCTATCAGTGTAGTTGCTGTTTTTGTTGCTGTTCCTGCCATGACTGCTACCCAATGCACTGCTGGGGGTGGCGTATAAGCCTAGGCTTGTAGTGGGGAGCTTTCCTTATGGATATACAGTAAAGTCACAAGATACTGAACCAATTACGGGAATAATTTAGTTTTTTGGGTAAAGGCCAGCCCTTATCTCACTTAGAACGCGTTCACTGTATCGCTGTCTCCTCTATCAATATCAATGCTGCATGGCCTACGTGACGCTCTCTAATGCACAGCGAATATGTTCGTTGGGTTATCGGCCCCGTTTACGCTTGCCAATTTGCGTACGAACAAAGAGAAGAGGAAGCAACTGAGTGCAGGTACAAGGAAGGGAGCAGGAGAGGGAGCAAGAGAGGAAAGCGTGAAACGCATCATGAGAACGCCTTTTTGTCAGAGTGTGCATGCATGTATGCGTGTGTGGATATTTGCAGCTGTCGTGTGATGACTGCGGCTGCACCTTTTGTTGTTCGCATTTATCGACGACGAACTAATACCGGGTGTTAGGTATGACACACAAACACACACAGGCTCCTAAACTCATTTTGGCCTGTGTGTGCATGCAAAGGCAAGGAGGTACATACATACATACATATGTAGATAGGCAGATAAACACTTACCTTAGATAATTTCGCGAAGTTTGTTTTGTAGCTTTTGCGGACGACGAACTATTGCCGCTGCCAGCAGAGACAGCGGCATGAGTGGAGGCGGGGGAGGCGTGAGTTGTACGTGACGCCGACGCTGCCGGTAATGATGTTGTTGTTTGGCTATTAATTAGCGCTGCTGCGGTTTGTTGGGACGCGAACGCAGACGCGGTCAGCGCTGACGCGTGCGTGGGTGCCGCTGCGGCCGCTACTGTTGCTGCTGCTGGTGCCGACGGAAAGAACAGTTTATTCAATAAGGCCATAATAACATACAGTGTGCGCAATCATTTAATAAACACATCTGGCCAATATCCTAACAACAATTTATTGTAAATCACTGTAAATCTTTTCACACAAAAAAAAACACACAGACACTGTTTCACTCTTTCCTTGGAATGTGTCGGGTGCCGTTAGTTTTTCCAACACGCGCGCGATAGAGACAGAGAGAGAGCTAGAGAAAATGATGCTTGGCTGCCACAATTAAACTTTCGCTTTGCACTTTTCTTTGCATCTGCATACATCTACATCTGTATGTGTGTGTGTATGTATGTCTTGCTGCTGCTGCTGCTTCTTCTCTTTCTTTTGCCAAATGATCTCTTCCTGTAGTTGCCGAGTATTCACAGACACACACTTGGTTATTTATTTGATTGAATGAATATTGCTATTTTTGCTTTGCGTTGCTTTTGCCCTCATCCTGAGCGGCGGAAATCGCTGCTCTACAGGTCTTTACCGTTCCACGCCGAAAAGATGTGAGGCCCCAAACAACGTTGGCGTCCGCTTTAAAAAGTTTGCAAGAGGCGCGCGTCGGTGTCGTTGTCAGAGCGCGTATGTATAAGTGTGTGAGAGCGGAGACAGAGAGCCATTGCGATGTATGTGTGAGAATAACAGTTGCTGCCGCTGGCGGGGGCTATTACTAAAACTAGTAAGATTTCCCTCCTGCTGACCGTCGTCTTGGCTTCTTTCCATCTTGCTGGAGCTGGAGCTTTGGCCAATACACAATTTTGTGTAGTTTTTTTTGTTCCTCCACTCCATCCCACCCTTCACCCCTGCTTCAATTCACAGCTTTTTGTATTTGCTATCTTAACACGAAACAAGGCATTGCTTTTTACCACTTATTGCAGCTGAACACGTTGTGGTTGATATTGTCCATCAAATAAAGAACTGTCACATTTTATTAATAAGCTAAAATCTTGCTAATTTCACGCATACTATAAACATATAATTTATAAACATATGTTTATTTACAATCCCCAAAGCAACAACAATGCAACCAGTGTGACCGTGGACTTATCGATAAAACACATACGGCCCGTTCCTCGGAAATATACCAAAACTACGTTACAAAATTTCAAAATATACCGTAAATATATTGACGTATTATTTGTAAGCAACCTGAGTCATATTCCTAGTTTTGATATTCGGTTGAATATTACTAGTTAACTACGATCCTCCGTTGTGAATCCATAATTTAATAAGATTAATAAATCAATTTCCTACAGGAAAACTTAAATTTAAGTTTTCCGCTTTGTTGCATTGCGTTTAAAATTATGTTTAACTACACGCCAACTACATATTTGCTAGATATTAACATCATATTTATGTAATTACCAAAAGCGACACCTGAAGGGAAAATTTGTAAGTTGCCAACACTTTTTCCTTCTTTTTCTATATAAGCCGAGTGGAAGCGCCAGTGTGAAAAACCTTCGTTAATAAACTTTCCGCTCCCATGTTGCGGGACATGTTGAAAGTATGGAATGAGACTCATTGTTGCTACCGATTCAGTACCCGATTCAGAGAGCGAAAAAGAGAGCTTTAACCGATTTGAAGTGAGCGAAGAGTAGTCCTAACGCGTTCTATGGGCTCAGCTGGGAGTGTGCCCGTTGGCTTTTGCGAAGCTGTCACACTATCTCACTGTGAAGGGCGCGACCCTGTTAAAATTTGAATACATTTTTTGTGGTGCTGGGCGTCGGTGTTTTCAGGGGATTTTCAAAGATTTTGGAGGCAGCGATGGTGTCGTCCGATGTCACTCATCCCAGAAGTAGACCGTGAAAGACATTCGACGATCCCGAGGCGGATCAGGCCACAAGGTCGTCCCACTCGTAAAATGAAATTCAAATTGTTCGCGCCCAACCAATGTTTAAATTCAACTTGGGGCATTTTTGGAGCTTTTTTTAGATAGGTACCCTTGGGTATACACACTGCGAGAGTCCAGTTGCTCGACTTCCCATGCCCACAGATAAGACATTGTACAACTGGGGCATGTATATATTCGCACAATGTATACAATACATTAACATGCAGATAAAATTCAATTTCACCATTCCATTCCGTGCAAGCAGCACACACAATACAACACACTCATAAAGATTGAAAAAAAAGTGCATATTTAATTCGCAGCATTTGTTGGTATAATAATAAATTGAATTTCTGTTTCGTTTGCTTGGCGAACACATTCAGATATTTCATTATAATTAAAAGTAATTACTGATACAGGCTCCAGAACCAATTGGTGGATACACAAACGGGCCGGGCCGAGCAAGGCCTGGCTGCTAGGCTGGCATGCTGGCAGGCGATCATCATGTCATCAATGATCTCGAACAACAATTTCAATTTCCAAATACGATTTCAATATGCATTACTTGAGTAAAACTGGTTTCAGCTGTCGCTATCCTCTTCCAATTCAAGGCAACATTTGTGACTGTTATGTTTTTCTGTTTCTATCGCTTCTAACGCTTCTATCGCTTAGAGTCTAATTAAGTAAGTGTTCAATTGATACTTTAATGGCTGGCTCTTCTTTTCTGGTCTCTGGTTCTGTTTCTGTTATGGTTCTTTCGACAGTTCGCTTTCATTTTCATGGTTATTGTTGGTTTTTTCCCCTTCCGTGTTGTTTCCATCTAAGCATCTCGTGTGTGGCGTGCTCCAGTCCAATTAAAGTCCATGGAAGGCTGCTAACATTTATTCGTCCTCCTTTGCCCTCCCTCCAAACACACCACACCTACTTGGCGGGCGAGGATCCAAACACGGGCTCCTCCCATTTGTGGTGCACCTCGGGAGTCAAGTTGCTTATCTGTACGTGCACGGCCTGGTGTTTCTCGTACTTTGGCGGAATGGCGCACAGACGGTATTTGACCTCATCCCCGGGCATGGGCACATATTCACCTTCGATGCTGGAATTTTTGTGAGCAGTGAGCGAAACGTTAAACGGTGGGCGAAGCGAAGGTTGAATGCATTATTAAACAACTTACTCGGAAACATGGCAAAAAACGTCCTCGCCACCGGCGGTGGGGATTATAAAGCCGTGTCCTTTGCTACGGCTAAAGGACTTTACCACGCCGGTCACCACTGGGTTCTCCAAGGCCCGAGCCGAGCTAAATTTATTCCATTTTTTGTTGGGTTTATGTTGTGTTTTTTTTTTGTGTGTGTTTTGTGCGCGCGCAAAAGCGACGGCCAGGTCCAATGGATGGAGGGAGCAGTGGGAAGAGACAATTAAATCAATGCCAGAGAAAGGGAGATGGAGATGTAGGAGATGGACTTACGTCGAGGCCGTGCGTGTGCGTCGCGTGATTATGGGACTCGGTAGCTGCAGCGAGGCATTCGGGCTGTTATTATGATGATGGAACACTGGCGGCTTGGCGGAAAGCATCTTCTCGGGTGTCTTTGGGTCAGCCATGGTTCTTTCAAGTTCGGTTCTTTTCTTTCGGTTAGTAGAGCAGTGGCAGTGGAAGTGGCAGGAAAGCGGCTTTCGGGTATGTGTGTCTGTGTGTCGCGGCGTCACTGTATGGACGGCAGCCAAGTCTATTGAGTTCAAGGCCAGGGGCGCAGAGGGTTAATTGCGTTGTGGTATATTTCGCCCCGCAATGTCGCCTTACCAGTCTTTTCTATCTGGAAAAGCTCCCACTCACTCTATCGCTCTCTCTCTATCTTTCTAATTAACACCTGTGAATGATTTACAATTGTAATGAGCAAACTTTCTTTGGTTTGCGCTTTGCTGTGCTTTGGCGGTGGCGGCCACCAATACTGATGCAATTATTTGCCGCGAGGCGAAATGCCGGTTGGGTTCGATGGAATTCTTACTTCAACTTGAAACTCACTGCAAGGGCTTCACTGTACGTGCCGTGACTTTATTCAGCTCGTATATCTTGCACTTTTACCGATTTCAAAAGCGGTTTTTTGATTTTTTCAACAAATCGCGGCTGCGAAGGCGTCCAAAGATAGGGCAGTGTGACCGTGGATTTATTTATACTTTTCGCCAGAAACATACCGTCTAATGTTCCAAATATATCGTGAATATACCGATGAAAAAACGAGCTTAGCCCTCCTGACCCTCCTCTATTTACAGGAGTGAAAAACTTGAGTGTTTACTGTTTGTAAATTCTTCTTGCAGATCCATCATGCCCTTTCTCATTACTCGCAAAAAAGACTGCCATACCTTTCACCTGAACTGCGCTAAAGTGGAGTGTATTTTAATACTGGTCGACAATGGGCTAACCTTTCTGCCCATTTTATCGGCGGTCGCGATACTTATCGCACTATTGAACATCGTAATTTTAAAATATTTTAAGCTTAAAATGAAAATGACCAAAAATTTCAAATCGCCAGTAGCAGCTCCCTGCCCGATACGATCTCTTCTGCCTTCATGGTGATTTTGGTGGCATATTAATTACTCCCTTTTAGAGTGACTGCTTCAGTGTATGCATGAAATTCTGAACAACCAGCCATCGACAGAAAAAACATCGATAGTATTACAAGGAATATCGCACATTGCTCTGTTCTAGCTGTTGTCGAAATTGAAAAGAACTTAAAAACTACAACACATTTAAGAAATCAAATTTTTTGCGCCAGTTCTTGATGAAATTTAAGATAATCAACGGTTATGAGTCACGAGGAAAGTGATGACAGTTGGGAGCAAGTGGCGGATACCGATGACGACGCCACCGCCGATGCCGATGCCGACGACGACGCCACCGCCGATGCCGAAGCCTATTCGGAGGAAAGTCAGGAGTCTCTTCAGCCCGTTGTGCGACGCCAGAACTGGCAAAGATTTATCACACAGTATCCCGAACTAGCGATGGTTGGCGGGCTGCCAGTGGAACTGCAACAACTAGAAGTACTTATGGATCCAGGACTGTCAGCATTGGATGTCCTGGCGCCGTTGGAGCGTCGCGAGGCTGATGGTGAGGCTGATGCGCAGCAAGCGGCTGCAGCAGACGATGCTGCAAATGATGTGGAAGTTCTTGAGGCAGAACTGAACGCCCTAGAGGAGGATGCGGAGCCACAGCCGCAACCTGCCAGTCCGCCGACCAACTCGCAAAGAGCCCCAGGACAGGGAGATATCATAAATCTAGAAACACCATCGCCGCCAAAGAAACGCAAGCGTCTATGCGCTGCAGACAAAAGCCTGACGAAGACGCCCGAGCCGACAAAGGCTCCTGCGCCACCACAAGTGGACGAAGACGATGGTCTCACGTGCCCCATCTGCCTGGACTCGTGGGAGATGAGTGGAGACCATAGACTGGTCTCTTTACGCTGTGGCCATCTGTTTGGAGAGGAATGCATCCGCCGCTGGCTGGCCGAAAGCCAGAGACAGTCGTCCGTGAAGGTGTGCCCCCAGTGCAAGTCAAAGGCCACATACAGGGACATCCGCCACCTGTATGCCAAGCGCATCGTAGTGGTGGACACCGAAATCAGGGATCAGCTGGAGGAAGAGCGCCGACGCAACCACATCCTGGCCACAGAGCTGTCGGCCGCAAAACTGGCTCACTTCGTGACCAGCGATAAGCTGTTGCAAACGAAAAAGAAATACGACCAGCTGGTCGCTTTGACCGAAGGAACTGGCGGCCGTGGAGCGTTCTCCGTTCTGTCGGATGCAGCAAAGAAAAGGCCCATCCAGCAGCTGCCCATGCATCGCCTATACATGGAGAAGAACTTTGAGATCACCCGCGACCCCGGCTGCCGCGTGATGCACTTCTCCAGCAAACACTCGCTGCTGATGGCCAGCCAGAAGAGTGGCCAGAGCCTGTTCCCCGGCTACGGAGTGCGCTTTATCGATCCCTTAAACTTCCAGCCGCTGCACTTCCTTTACACAACGGCCATGCTGGTGCGGGATATCGCATTCAGTGATTCGAAGCAGCTGCTGGCTGTGTCCAGTCGCGAGTCCAAGATCAAGCTGTTCGATGTACGCACCAAGCTGCAGTCGTGCATGGTCTCAGCAATGGATAAGACGCTCTGGGCCTGCGGCTTCGATCGTAACGACCGGGATAACTATCTGTATGGAGGCGATCTCCGTGGCGGGGCCTACATCTATGATCTGCGCTTTCCCGATAGCATTCTCGGCCAATACCAGGCCAATGGTGGGTGCATCTACAACACTATGTATCTAATCCGAAAAAACTGATTTTTGTACCCTTATATTTTTAGAGAACTTTAGTCCTGTGATACACATCGAGGCTGTGCCCCCGAACAAGACCTTTCCCTATGGGGGATTCCTCGTCTGCCAGCTTTCTGCGTTGTCCTTCTACGAGTATGTTTCGGCCGGCGAAGTGGCCCAGGCCACGCGCCTCAATGTCGACGGACCGTTCCTCTCAATGCAGTACGACCATGTGCAGGACACTCTGCTCATTTCGGCTCGCAGCAATCCGAACTCGCCCAACTCTCGGTTCATACTGGGGCAACTGGACAAGATCGAAGACATCCCGGTGTTCCGGGCGAGAGTCACCATCTTTGGACCCTCAGCCACGCCCATCATGACACGACCCACTCAGCTGGGTGTCGAGGATAACACCCTGATCGTTAGCTATCTGCAGAATAACAAGCAGCTGATGCTGTACGACGTCCGCCGGGAGGAGCGTGTCCAAACGATGCCCGTCAATGAGGTGATCTACGACTTTTGTCCCGTGAGCAACAGCATTGGCTCCTATCTGGCCGCCTTGACCGACAATAAGTGTCGCGTGTACAAGCTCAATAGCACGGGATAGAGAAGGATGGATAGACGGATGGATGGATAGATGGATAGAGAAGGGTGGATTGATGGATCATTTTCTGTGAAAATGTCTCCTCCTTCAGTAAATGTTTAATTTTTTTGTATTTTTAGTTCTTAATTCTTGCGTTTATTAAAACATTTCTCAGAACATAAATCTAAATGTAATTCCATGTAATATTTCACGCATTTAGTCATTCTTTTGATTCTGGATTTCAATTGAATTTCGGTTTACTTTTCTTTTATTTATTTGCGAATGTGTGTGGCTTGTAGATGTTCGTATTTTTCTTGTATAAAATGTTTTTTTTTTTTTTATTCCATACGATTAATATACATATAAAGCTATAAAAAAATTGTGTTATGTTATTCGTACGAGTATTCATTACAGATATATGTAGACATACATATATATAGATATACATATGTATATCCTCCCAAAAAGGTTGAAGAATGCATGAAACGATGAAAATGATGATGCTTTCTGAAGAACAGTCTCTCGAAAAGGAAAATGTTTACAACAGAATTCCCTCCTTAAATCGTTTTTTGTTTTGTTTTTTTTTTGTTGTATCGAAAACTAAATCTAAATGAGATGGAAACCACATCACATCGCTCCCATAGAGTCATTGGTTATTGGTTGTGGGTTTCCTTATAAAGTTGGTATCAAAAAAAGTGTTGTTCATCGTTGGTCATTTTGTTGTTGTTGTTGTTGTCGGTTCTTTCTGGCATAAATATCGTATCGTATTGTATTGTATTGTATATTCGAACAGTAGTATAATGTTTTCCGTATTTCTAGAGTTAGTTCTTGAGTTGAAAGACGTGTAGATCTATACTTTTCAAGTATAATTTGAATATATTTTGTGTGTGGTTTGTGTTTGTGTGTCATTTGTGTGTGTGTGAGTGTGGGTGTGGGTGTGTAAGATCAGAGAATACGTGTATCGATCGTCTCGTATATGGTATAGTATTATATGGTTAGAGATATATAAGATACTTAAAGAACTTCGTAACTTAAATTGTAAGACAACTAAATATACAGTAGCGACAGAGAGAGGTAGAGAGATAGAGATAGAGATAGAGACAGGGAGAGAGAGAGATATATAAACACTAGATTCACTTAAAGGCTAAACTAAATGCAAAAACGTATAGAGCTCCTACACCTAACCTTCCTAACAGGAAGGAGGAGAGGGAGAAGGTGTCTGCATTCGTCAGGGATTCAGATTCAGATCAAAGCCGAGAATCCCCTTGAGAAAATGTAGACATCATCATTTACAAGAGTCTAAAAAATAAAAAAAAAAATTTGGTTTGGGAGAAAGAAGGGGGCGGGGTGGGGGTTTATCTGCTTTTGGTTTTTCTTAGTCGGCTCCTCCTCAATCGATGCGCGCATAGCGCGGCACTATATCCTTGCTAATCCAGTAATTGCAATGCTCGTAGTCCTCCTGCGGCTGTGCGTCCTGCCCCACATTGATCACCCTTCGGCGTGGCTCGAACGACTGCACCGTGCCGTGCGATACATAATAGTAGAAGAGCTGCTGCATGGCCGACACATAGCGGCGCTGCTCCACGGTGTGGGGCTCATAGCGACCCAGAATGGCCTGCACATCGGCATCCACTGTCGCCAGCTGATCCTCGCCCTCGCCCTGGGTCACCACATAGAAGGGTACGCTCGGCTGGAGGCGGGCATTCGTCAGCAGCGGGCAAACGGTGCGTATGTCCGTGATGATGGACACCAGAGCGGCATAGTTCGTGGCATTGTAGCGTTCGATCACCTCATCGGTGAGGCCGAGGGCTCCGATTTGCGAATTGTTCAAGTACTCGCGCACCTCCTCCTTCGTCCAGTTGGCGTGCAGCTCGCGCAGCTTCTCGGTGTGCGCCTCATGGGCGGTGGCTCCCACGACCAGCAGCGGCTGCTCGGTGGCCTGGTCGCGCTTCCACGACTCCGAGGGATGCTGGAACAGCACATCTCCATCCAGGACCAGCCACTCGTGACGGCTGCCGCTGTTGATCTCCTGCGGCTGGGGCAGATCCTGGGGGAAGTGCAGCCAAGTGTCGGGTGTGGCGGCCCACAGTTTCTCGCTGGAGGCGTCGCGCAGACACCCCACATCGCTGCAGTCCAGGGTGACCATCAACTGCTGATTAAGCTTCTCCGCCTCTGCCAGGGGCTTGCCGGGGAATATGGCCGATCCGGAGGAGGACCAGGCGCGTGTGTACAGATCCTTGAGCTTGGGGGAGCTCACCAGCGCAGAGACCAGAGTGGCGCCCGCACGATGTCCCAAAAGAGTCACGGACTTGGGATCGCCTCCAAAGTTAACGATATTCAACTGGATCCACTTGAGTACAGCAATGATATCGGTGAGAGCGTAGTTGCCAGAGGTCCTTGGGTGCGCCTCCTTCGTGAGCGATTCCAAGGCGAGGAATCCAAAGATGCCCAGGCGGAAATTCGGGCGCACAAAGATCACATCATGGGAGCGGGAATAGCGGGCCGAGGGACGCAGTATGCCAGGCGATGGCCCCGCCAGGGTCTCGGCGCCAATGAGCACCACCACGGGCAGGGGATTCGTGTAGCGCACATGGGGCGTCACCACATCCAGGAAGAGGCAATCCTCGTCCCCCACAGTGGTGCCGTTGCCCAGTCGCTGAGTGCAGACGACGCTGCTGTTGTGCGTCTGCAGCGTGTCGTTCCAGCAGCCGTCGATGCTGTCGATCAACTGTGCGGGTCTCCAGCGCAGCTCATCCACGGGCGCCTTGGCATAGGGTATGCCACGGAAGGCAAAGGCTCCATCCTCCTTGACCCCCTCCACGGGCCCGCAGCCTGTTACGGCGAGAATGTAGCGACCCTCGCGCAGCGGGGGAGAGGTCAAAGTCTCGTGTGTCAGCACGTATCCAATCACCGCGAGGAGCAGCACAAACAACAGGATTCCGAAGGCAATCAAAGCATCGTCCACGCTGCATTTGTAGCCACGGAGGCGCTGCAACAGCGAAATGGGACGATCGCGTTCGTCCTCTTCGGCGGCGAGCTTCTGTTCTGCGGCCAGTTTCTCGTCCTTCAGTTCACTTTTGATGTCATCCGTGCCATTGGCATTCTTGACGGGTGCACGATCCACCGTGTCCTGATCCTTGAGCGAATCATCCAGAGTCTCCATCGAGGCGAGGCCTGCCTTGCCGCCCAGCCCCATCTCCACATCGTCGCCGTTCTTTCGCTGCTTGGGTATCATATTCGCAATCGGCAGTTTGATGGCATTCAAGAGTCCTCGCTTCGGTGGCGGATCCACGGCTGCTGCGTCCTCCGCTGCGGCAGCTTCAGCAGTGGCTTCTGTGCAAATGGAAATCTCAGGTTAGTTCTCGTACAAATGAACAGGAAAATCTATGACATACCCGACTTGGCATCCGCGTCTCCATTTACGAGCGCCTTCTTCTCCTTTTCGGCTCCTGGCTTGCGCACAAAGAAGCTCCTGAGGCGCTGTCCCAGGCCAGGACGCGGCTTGGGCTCTGCTGCTGCTGCTGCAGCGGCGGCATCTCCGTTGACTGCCGTCGCCTCCTTGTCCTTGTCCTCTGCATCCTTTTCGAGCAGCTCGCCCTCGGCGCCATCGCCCTCTGCCTTGGGTTTGTTTTTCATAAAGAAACCCGGCAGCTTGAGGCCACCGATGGGTATCTTCTTGGGCTTCACCTCGCGCTCTTCCTTGCTGATTTTCTTCTCCTCTCCTGCACCGCTGCCCTCCGTCGGCTGTGGCTTCTCCTTCTCCTCGGGAATGTCAATGATCTCATGTCCCTTCTCTTCATTGGTCTTTTCGCCCACCGGCGACTTCTTGCCCGCATTGGGGGTGGCCGGCTTCGATGACTGCGGACTGGGCGTCTTCTCGGTCTTCTTGCTGTCCAGCATCTTGTCCGTCTCCTTGGGCTCCTCCAGCGTCTCCTGCTGTGCGGCCGTTGTCTCTGTCGGTGGCGTTTCCTTCTCCTCGAGTTCTCCCATTATGTTATTTGTTTTTCGATGATTCTTTGGCTCTCAAGATACGTTTTAGAGAACTCTGCGAGAATTCTGCAACAAATGGAAGGGAAAAAATGTTTAATGCAAGTCCGTTTTTGGCACCAAACGACGGCGGCAATCCTTGGTGGCAGGACAAACCTTTGACTTAGTTGCTGCCGTTTTTGTTCGAGTTTGTTTATATTTTTAAAGACTTTGAGGGATCTACGATCTAAGATCTATCCCGATTGCTGGCTGAAATGCTTCTGAAATGCCGCTGCCTGCTGACCGCGGTCTTTATACCCTCCCTGACGATCCCGATTCCGAATCCCGATCCTTTCCAATAATTTTCTCTACCTGGAAAGAGCACGTACCTTCTGCTCTGCTCTGCTCGGCTCGGCTCGACTCAGGTAGAATCCTGGAAAATTGCTCAAATTTCCCTTGCAACATTCCCGTTGAGCCGAGTTTTTTTTTTTGCTTTTCCTCTTTTTGGGGCGGGAAGACCGCAAATTTATTGAGGCGACAGCTGCGCAGGACTCTCATTCGGTTGCTGATCGTCTGATCCCTGTCCCATGTCCTAGATCCTTTTACTTCTTCCATTTTTCTTTCCACTTTTGGTACGTGCGCCTTTCACACGTTGCACGTTGCACGTTCTACGAAAACGTTCTTTAATTAGCGAAAACCTATAAAATCAACGTCGCATCGGACCAAGGACATTTTGGTCATTAGAAAAGGTAACACCGCCGACGCCGCTTTTCGCAGCGGGATCTCAAAGGATCAGCGGGTCACAGGATCAGCGGACCAGTCATCGGTAGCAAAATCACGTCGCACAGCTCACACAAATCGAATGGCCAAAAGTCATGACAAATAAATAATGATAAAAATATTCCAAAAACGTGGAAATTGTGACTTTTCTTTTTTTTAATGATTTGATCGTTAGAATGGCATTAGACTGCAGACGTAGACTCGGGGAGGATCGTTTGGAATACATTAGGAGGCAATACGGTAAAAAGCAAAGGCAAATGGTGACTTTTACAGGGAAAAAGGAGTCCTTGAAGAGAAAAATAACTGCGGTTTTCCATATAAGTGTCTAAGGAAGAGACGGCGAATGATATTTGCTGAAGGAATCACTAAAGAGTACAAATATAGCTTAATTTGTACATTAATAGGAGTTTTTTAAAGATCCAGTGAACCTTTTAGGTATATCGAAGATTTCGTTTGATAAGCGATCATTGATTTTCCAAGATCTAAAGCAATCACTTCCAGATCCCCTTCTTCCACCCACTCTTATGATTTCCCATAGATTTTGTGCTTCCATTTCCTCCATTTTCTCTTTAAAGTAACATTTATCTGTGATTCTTTGAGGTATGCCCTCTTTTCTAGACAACTTCAGCAATCATTGGCTAGGATGATCCTTCAAAAGGTAAAGTTCCAATACCCATACAATCCATTGATCAATGATCTTCTACAACCACAGATTTTTCGTTCACTCAAGTCCCTCATTAAAAGCTTATCAATCAAGGGGATGATCTCCGTTCTCTCTACCGTCAATGGATTTCATTTAATTTCCTGGAACACCATTCGCCCCACAAATGACACACTAAACAATAATCTCCCTTCAGTCCCGTCCCCCCCATCTACACTCGAACTGCACTCATTATTTCCCCGTTTTCCTCACGCATGAAGGCGACACAAAAGATATGGAAAACGTGGGGGGAATGCGATGGGGCAACATGGAGGGAAAAACGATGCCAGGTCCCGACCCGACCTTTGCTGGCTCTGCTGTCATGTAAATCAACCGAAATTCCATTAAAATTTGAACTTTAAGTTCAAAACGCATTGCGTGTAATAATCTGTTGGAATATTATCACTATATTCTCTATGTGTTCTTCGCTCTTTCTCTCTCTCTCTCTCTGTTAAAGTGGAAGGAAAATCGAAAGCAAACCTCGAACATCGACATCGAGACATCGTCGTCTGTTGCGTATCGAAAGTGAAAAGAGTGTCACATGTGTGTGGCATGAAAGAGTGCGAGAGACAGAGAACACACAGAAATCCAATTGAATCGGATTTCAAAGCATTAACGACCCAGGAGCATGGGTGTGGGGAGCAGATAAGTGTTGTCTGGTTCTCCGATTCTCTAATTCTCTGGCCACAAGTCATGGGGCCACAAGTCGTACATACATACATATGTATGTATGTCTAAATAAGCCCCTCTCTCTTCCTTAGCTTCTCCTTCTGCTGCTAAACAGAAATGCAGGTCAAAGTAATTACAGTTCTCGCTGGAAAATGGAGTAGGCTTCAAGCATCTACGAGTATCTGCTGGATGCCACTAGCACAGTGCGTCCCAGCACTTTAGTACCACAAATAATAGCATAGCTGATCCCGTATCGCCAGTTGTCCCTAGAAATGAATGTATCCTTTCGCTTATGAGAAATTTGGGCAGCAAAACCACGGCATTAGTGGCCTCGCAAGCCTTCTTAAAAGTTCTCCCATGGATTTAAAAGGGGGAGAACTACCAAAAACTAAAGACAAAAAGACGATTCAATGGAGAGATATGGAACTCCCACTAAACCGGAAACCTCCATTAAACTGTGCGCTAAAACATCTTTAATCAGTTTTTTGGTTCCATTGAGTACTCTTTTCTAGGCAAAACTTCTACAGATCCTTCAGTCCCTAGAGTTCATATTTATATTTCGAGTGTTTTCATGCCTTTTTTGCATACTTTTGCCACGCACTGTTAGAGTGTGATCCCAGCCTCATTCTCACTTTGACAATTGCAAAAAGAATGTATTAATAAACTAAAGAGAGAGATAGAGAGGGAGAAAGATATCTTTTTCTATAGGTCCAGACATTCCATAAAGTGCAAGATATTTAGAGAGAGCGACAACGACAACGACAACGATGTAGATCAACGTCTAATCATCCTTTTGTTAATTAGCTGAGAATGAGAATCGTTTGTGGCCGAGAATGGGAATCGTTTGTGGTGTGTCCACCGGCGGGGGTCAAACAAACAAAACACAAATTTGGACGCGCCCGGAAGGGCAATGAAAAGCGGCGAAAAAGCGGTACAAAAGAAAAGCGTTCCCTGTTGACACGCACTCCCCCATAGCCCCATAGCCCCACCCCACATACCCTCTCTCCCTCTCTCGTTCTATGTGGCATATGTGACCGACAAGCGAAGCGAAGGGGTCCGGGCCTGGGCCGGGGTCTGGTGGCTGTAGCCGTAATTTGTCTTGGCTCGTAAATTAAATCAAATTCGAAACTTGCGTTTGACATGCAATTTCCCTTCCCTTCTTTGACTTCCAATTCCATGTCCTTCGCTTTTCCACTCTCTCTCTGCACCCCACAGCGTTTTCCAAAATTTAATATCTTTTTTTTTTTGTTCAAGAAATTACCGTTAAAACATAAAAAATTGACCACAAAATGCGGCGGGGATACGCTTAAAGAGCATTTACAGTGGGCAACAGTGGCAGAAAAGTGGAACATACGAGTGGTACTAGAAACCACTTTCTGGCAAGTATTTTTAAATATTTAATACTACAATTTTTATTTTCAATCTCCTATTTGTGACACTTTTTTAAAATATTTTTGCGCCATCTCCTATTTGTAACACTTGTTTTAACATTTGTCCCACTGTGCCTGTGTCGAAGAGTATGTAGCACTAGCGCCGAACGATAATCCCCCCTTTTGTTTTTGGTGGCTGCCACCACCCACCGCCCGTAAGCCCATGTAGATCCCCGTAGCTTAGGCGCAACAAATACATAAATTCTCGTGGAATATCTCTCGCATATCTTGCGGACATGTCAGGAACCACTTTGAAATGCATAAAAATGCAATTGCTTTTGGCCATTTATTCTATTGTTTCACGAATAGAGGGTGGAGGGGGAGTGTTCCAGGCGATAAGCCCCCCCGCTGTGAGTGAGAAAGCGACAACTGCTACACGAGTTTTCAGTGCTAACTGTCATTCAAGACGCAACCTGTGTGTGTGTGTGTGTGTGTGTGCGTGCTTGTGTTTGTGTGTGCCTATCCCTCCCTCTCCCACTCGCCAACAAACTAATGGCAGCGAAGCATGAAACGAAAAAAAGAAGGGGGCGGCAATGGCATGGAAGAAGGAATGACAGTGGAGGGGGAGGAGCAGACCTGCGTCCTGTTATTATTATTTATTACTGTTCTTGTTTTGGCTCCTGCCGCCACTTTACTCTTTCTATTCGATCAATCGCCCTCACCTATCCTTCTCACACCCCCGCGCACACTCCCACACACACAGATCACTCCTCGTATAAGTCGCTCCCACTCACACTCCCACACGCTCTCTCTCCTTTCTGTTGCTTTTTTCTGACTTGCGACCAAACCACCAGATGGCGCTTGCCGCCCTTCGTATGTGCGTGTGTGCCGGCATTAAGGTGTCGCCATAGAGAGAGTGAGGGAGAGGGCTATACTGATTGATAGGTGAGTGGCAGAGAGGCACAATAAAAAACACTCACTTTTACACTACTACTACTGTTATTATTCTTATTATGCACATGTGCGTGTGTGGGTGCTCTTTATGCTCAATTAAACAGGATATTGGAACAACTGCTGGACACTCGTCGCGTCAGAGTCCCGGACATTAAGATTTCAATGATAACGAATGAACCAACGAACACTCATTTATAATTACAGACAAACGAGGAAATTTGTCTAGACAGCCGCCACCGTTACCGCCACCGCAACAACAATAACAGCAATCAACGGAAAATGCTATTTCCAGGCTCCTACTCAGGTGGCTGCCCCTGCTCCGGCTCCGCCTCCGGCTCCTGCTCCTACGCCCCCGCCCCCAAGTGCTGGTGCTCCACCAATCAGTGCTTTTGATTCAATATCCTCGGGCAACAGACATAATTTTTCAATTTGTTCCACAAATATCCCTCCAGCAGAGCGGCAGAGCAGAGGGGAAATCCTCTCCCTAACGAAGTCAATTTGTCAGCCAGACGCCATCCAAAAGAGCGGCAGAGCGATGGCCATGCAGGTGAGGCTTTGCCAGAAAGCTCTCCCACGGCCTTTAACGCCTCACCTGCATGGCCACATGTGCCTTGGAACTCTGGAGCTCTGGAAACGAGAGCCCCCAAGGGCCAACTCTTGAAATTAACTTGAAAATATTTTGATCTAACAATTTATTATGCTTATTTCTTTCAAGTTTGTTAATTTCATGGCAATTTATAGAGTGGGGGGGAAGACGCAATTCCAATCAAAAGTGGGATGATTAATGAATACCCCGGACACGTGTGCCACGCGGGGAAGGGGCGCGAAGTTCAACCAAGCATAAGCTATGACGAGAAACACAGAAACTAGAAACCGCAAAACCCCAAAAGGTTGGCTGTGCACGTGCTCTCCTCTCTCTTTTTCTTCCTTTTTGATGGATGATAATCTCCAGAGGCCACAGAGGAGAGGGGAGCAGAGAGCAGGTAGTGAGCGGAAATTGGTAAACGAGTAAACACCACACACGCACACATACACATTAAAACCTCAAAGGATCTCCCCTCCCGGAAGGCGCCAGGGCTCTCTTGTGGTGTTGGTTTCTGATAGAAGAGGAGAGAGGGAGAATACCACTTCAAAATAAGGAAATTTTTATGAATTTGTTATTACACTCGAGAGAGTGCAGAGCAACAACAACAAAAGCACGGGAACAGAGAATAACCTTGAATTGCGTTCATCTCATCTCTCGTTTGTTTACCTCCGTTATCATAGATTGCAAAGAGTATGCCTGATTCATGGAGATCAATATATGTGGCCAGGTGATGGCGTAGACAGTGGGATCTATAGACAGCAGATTTGTTCCATGCACTTGGATCATATCTTTTGGCATTCTTTAAGTTCCGATTTAGTATAATCATGTCCACTCATCATATTCGGTAATTCGGAATCGTGGTAAAGGGTAACCGTCAGTCGACTACAACAGTCCATATTTTTTTTGTCCTTTCTTTGCTGTCATTCCCATTTTATTGCGCAGTTCCCTTTTCCCCCTGTCCCGAGAAGGAGGGACGGACATAGATAAGCAGAGATTTCGTTGAAGATAAAAATGCCTGGAATTCTCGTGGAAGGCAATTGAAATTGTCAACAAATTATTTATGATGCTCCTTCTCCTATACTGCACCCCTCACCGTCTAGGGTTCCACATGTAATCCTCTCATTAGTCAATTGTCAGCAGCTCTCGAGTGGAGGATATTCTCTCTTCCACTCATGATTGCTGATGGATTTACAGTTGAAAGTTGAGGAAATTCTCAAACGTTTGACCGTGAACTACCATTGAAACCCCAAGAACTGTTATTGTTTATCTTGAAAAAGGCGGGCGGAGGGAAAAAAGTGTTGAATATGTTGTTTGGATTGTCTTCAATTTTCTACATTTCCTTTGCTATCTTTTCCCCTTAATTGCTATTGTTGTTGTTTACTTTTCGAGTGAAAGCCGTCAACACACACGCCCTAACGCCCCAAAAAACTCCGCCCATTACATAAGAAATGTTTCCAATTGAAATGTAAAGCAAAAGAAAATGAGAAACTGTGGCACACTCATCATCATCATCGTGCCCCGTGCCCCATTCCCTGGCGGGGCGGGCGGCTTTTGTCTTTTGAAAACTTGGCAAAACAATGAAGGAAGTTGGGCATTGGATTTGGGGGGAGGGGGAGGGGGGAGTGGAGTTGTTCCCTCAATAAATCTCTTTTCGAATGCAAATGTTGCGTCAGCTTGGAAATCTTCACTTTCCTTCATTTCTCACACTCCAACAGATGTCTTCTTCTTGAAATTTCCTTGGGTTTTCTTTGGTTTTTGTTGATGTTTTCTTGGGTTTATACTTCAACGATTCCCCGGAAGTCGTTTTCTTAGAGCAGATCCCCTTTTTTTTTTGTTTTTGGTAGAGCAGCAGCTGCAAAGACAACTTTCTATTGGGGGATCTTTCATTTGTGATCTTTTCCTCTCGTTAATTGCCATCACCGATTCATTAATTATTGAATTATAGTTTCTTTATCCCCAATTTCATTCATTTCCTCTCTCATTTGTTTATGGCACCATCTCTCTCTCTCTGTTTAGGGATTTATTCTCCCGAGCCGCTCTATTTTTGGCCCCCCTCCGAAATGTTGATGGATTGAAAACTGTCTCTCTGGATGGCATTTGAGGATTAGCAGACACATTATTGTTTATGAAAATGTTCAAAAGGATTTGTCACGCCTTTGATTTATGTTAAATGTTAATGTTTTTCCCCGGGAGAAAAGGATGGAAATGGAGTTGCAGATGGAGTTGAATCTTCTGTAAAATCATTTGACACGAGCCATTAGACCCCAAGAGCCACCATGACGATGACGATGACGATGATGATGGGTGTGTGTTATGGGGGGGATTATATTCCATAGAATCATGGAGAGGCGCCATTAATCTTATTAAGAGCTTAGAATCGAAGCAAATGAAGAAATCTTGTAGCCAGAGAAATTATTTGGGTGGGGTGAATGTTTTCGATAGGCAATTAAGGGATTGTGGGGGATTAGAATGACTAGCTTTATATTTTAGGAAAACAATTCAACCGAATACTAAATCTTGTTAACTAAAAAATTTTACCCAAATAAAACATTTGTGGGACCTTCAATACCCTACAAACGAACTCTCGAATGAGTAGGATATCCATCTTCGGCTCTCTTCGCACAAATGTTGCTCAAAAGGGTATTTTCGTGACGTCTAGTCTAGCACATTCCACGCATTTTTCTCTCAAACGTAACTAGTATTTCCCATGGTTTCCCGTTCCTTTTCTTTGTTCCCCTACTTGTATGTTCCTTTTGTCTTCTGTTGTCCCTTTTACTCGCACACTCCTTAAATTTCTACCGCAATTGTTTGATTCTTACTTGTTTTTCAATTCCCGCAAATGGATATTTTTTTTTCAGTTCTTGTTGTTTGTTGTTGCCGGCACTTCGGCTGCTGTTGAGGAATAATCCGAAGATAGTCGATCCGAGTGAAACGTGTACGAAGTCCTTCCTGCAGGACGCTTTAAGGTGTGTATAACTGGCTTACACAGATTTGTTGTATATTTTTATTTTAGTGGTTATCTCTTTCTTTTGATATCTTTTTGCACTAGAATTTTCGTTTGTTTGCACTTTTTTATTTTGATGAACGCAGAAAAAATAATTGTTTCCCTTTTTGATATCTGGTTTTGATTTTGATTTTGTGTTTGTTTTTCGTTTGATTTGATTTGTCTGTTTCTGGTTTTTGTTTTTATCGCAATTTTCTCTCTCTCTCCCTTCCAAAAGGAGCAAAGAATCGGAGGAAGAACCGCCGAGGACAGAGTCAAAGGAAAGAGCGTGCGAACGGTCGCGATTCAAACGGTAAAGTAAAGTAAAGTCGCGCTCTCGTGGTGTTTTCTTCGTGATGTCTGGTGTTGCTCAATTCGAATGTTGCTAGCGTTGGCAGGGCATGTTGCGAAGCTCTACCTCGTATTGTACCCTGTATGCATGTCGTTTTCTAGCAACATTTTCTGCACGAGCAACAACCACAGAGAGAGCAACATTTCTCGCTCTCGCTCTCTTTGCTTTCCGATTGTCGCTCTGCTGGAAGCGGCTTGCATATATGCAGGTAGCAACATTGCCGGCATACAGTTGCGATCAAAATAATAGCTCAGAAAATTTAAGCTGTGGTCTGTGCTTAAAATAACTAAATACTGATTTTGGACCTTATTTCAACATTATCTTACAAAATGAAACAGACTGAGGCTTAAACTTTAGCATTGGACACACAACAGAAATGTAAATTTAATTGTTTTTTGTCGAATTGTGTATTTGTGAGTGCTATTATTTTGGCCACAGCTGTGACGCTCTGGCATTCGGGCATTCAAGGGTTGATTGTCGCTCCATTTCATGCAGCTGGAAAGCAGCAGGCGCTCTCGCTCTCCGTTTTCCCTCTCTTCTGATTGTGCATGCGAGAGAGAGGGCTATGTTTTGTTGTACAGTACATGCAAAATAGCGTCGCGTCTATTGCGTTTATGCTGTTTTTTTTTGTGAGTGTTTGGAACCGCTCAAAAAGGAATATGGAGACAGAACGAGCATGAAGGGAGTGGGGGAAGCGAAAACCGGCTATAGGTAGGGATAGTGATTTTACAGGGTATGGTTTTCGGGAGGGGGGTTGGCAGCAGGACCTCTGAAATGGCAAGTGCCAAAGGATTGTGAGGCGCAGTATTTTCGGTTTCTTTTGTGGAAACATCTGTCAGATCGGATCGTCGAAACTCCAGGCGCTGATGCGTCATTACTTACAAACGCAACCCTTTTTCGGGGATAGTGGGGTAGGGGGGGTGTTAGGGTTCACTACCCCTGAGAAAAACAACTTTTTGGAAACAAGACTATGATGATTTTTCACGTCAACTTAGAGAGAATAGAAATTTTGATGCGTAACAAATGCGATTTACTACAGATGTTCTATGAAAGATTCTCAAAATATACGAAAAATACCATATCTTCAAAGTGTTATAGCTCCCAAACTAAAGATCGGGGAAGCATAAGCTATGTATCCAATAGTAGAACTCATTTTGATCCTTCTTTGGAGACATAGCGATCCTACGTTTTTCGTATCATAAAATGATTAAAGCCATAAGCCCCATGACGACACGTGCTGGGAATGGATTAATAGTTCCTCTCCCACTTCATCCCTTCCTCTCTTCATTCCCCACCCATCGTGTACCCACATGTCAACAACTTTCACGCCTCCTAAATATGTGGGTTCCCTACTCAAAACGTTTGGAGCTACTGAACCATTTCATTAGATATTATGTTAGACATCTGCTACCGAAAAGGAAAAGGAAAAAAGGAACAAATGCTGAATATAAAAGAGGGATAGAGTTACGTAGTAGCTGCCTTGATGTATGCCTGTCACGTAGGATCACATAGGATCAGAGGATCGGATCGCCTTCGAATCATCATTGAGGAAACCCACAAAATGTGAGGGAAGCATATGCAACTGTTTCTGTGCGTCTCTTTTGCTGGTTCCATGTGTGGGTTGTTGTGGCATATAATTAACAAGTTCTTCCTCTGTTTCTGTTTCTGTTTGTTATTCTTGTTCTTGTTCTTGTTTTAATTTAAATTTGGATCATCATTTGGCGTGGGCCCAGGAACAGGAAGCGAAATGGAAACCAAAAACGAAACCTTTAAGAGGGGAGACCACGACATGTGATGTGTAATTCAATCAAGCAATGATTCAGTTTCAATATGTGCTTCCACTCGAAGTAAAACCCCGAAAAAGCCCGAAAAAGCCGCTTAATGTTTGAGCTCAATTATATGGCTTTTCTTTGTCGGGGGACAGGACCCTTTCGATTCGCCCCCGCCCCCGCCACAGCCCCATAAACGCCTCAAAGTCGACTACAAATGGTGGAACATGAAAGTTAAGCTTCCTTTTTGTTCCATTGCGAATTTTGTTTCGGACATAAAGACCAGACCTTTTTTTTCTTTTATTTTTGGCGAAAAACTACCCACAGTTCGTGCAACACCACTTTCTGTGGTTGCAACCACAAAAGTTACTGTTTTATTTACTCAAACGGCCAGAAGAAGGAGAAGTAGGTAGGAAGAAAGGGCGAGGCAAGGTCTGAGGCCTGGGGTCCGTGGTCTGTGGTCTGGTGCGCAGGAGGATGCGGTACCGTACATGTTGCAAACAACAGAACAAACAGCAAGTGCTGTAGGTGGTTTTGTGGCGCCCCTTAATGGAACGAACACCCACTCGCCTGACATGAAACGCTTTTAAGTGTTCTGTGGGATCTGGAGGTTAAACACCTTAAAGGAGACTACCATCCATCCGTCCGTACGTCCGTCCGTCTGTCTGTCTGTCTGTCTCGTGTTCTGATGAGTGGCTGAGAAGGAGTGGAGGAGTTTGGGTTTGGGGATTTCTCTCTTACGCGAAAGAAGATACAAAACTTCAGCGGAGACTCTGAAGAAAGTCGTGGGATTGATTTCTTCAGAGAGATGTCTCATTCTTTCGCCTAAGCCGACGATTACAAAACTCTCCAAGGGTCAAATGTTGTCGCTGCCCATCAAAACACATCTCATTGATGTCCCAGAAGTTGCTGTGACAATCTCACAGATACAAGATACAATATACAAGGGGGAGACCCACAAAAGTGCACAAAAGATCATTGAAGAATGAAAATGAATCTGAAAAGATGCACAAAAAGATGCAGAGGGTGCTGCCTGCTGCCTGCTGCATCTGTGAGTCAAGTGAGTGGAAATAATCATCCCAGACAATAGAACGAAACAGGGGAGGGAGAGACTTCCACGTCCACATCCACATGCACAGTTACAGCCACAGCTACTTCTTGCTGCATTTTGTGGCATTCAAAGTGCGAACTCAATTGCAGCAAAAGATTGTTGGAGAAAGGCGGAGAGCAGGAGCTAAAGTTCAAGTCGTTGCACTTTTCTCAAAAGTGTTGCACTCTCCCTCCAATGATTCAATGATTGGTGGAGACCGAGGCCCCAGCGCCACAGAGTCACAAAATTGGCATTCAAATTGTAATGCAAATAATATCCCCCCAAGCGATGATCCACTGTGCTGCGATTCTGACATTGAAATGGGCTTCAGTGCACAGAGATAGAGGCTGCCACACCAGTCACCAGCCAGCAGTCAGCAGCCAGCAGCTCCAGCAGCAGCAACAGCAGCAACAGCAGCTGCCCCTCAATAAAAAGCGGTGCCCACAGTTCATGCCTCGTCGTGTGGGCCCCCTGTTTGCCATGGTTTTGGTGGGGGCACAGCCAGAGAGCTCCCTTTCCTCCTCTATTAATATCCGACTTCCTACAATTGGGTGAATGCTGCATAAATTGCATCTCAAAGGAAAAGACGGACGACTTTAATGCGTCATAATTGAGGCACAATACAGGACAGGGCAGGCGGATGGGGGGATGGAGGGATGGATGTGGTTTTGTGGCATGATTTGATTAACCAACAAAGAATGTATCTCAAGATACAGACACCCACTTCTTTCACTCGTAGATACAATAGAGAGAAGCTTTGACTTACTGCCAAATTATTGATTTTCAGTCTACGATTGCAGCTTGCAGTAGTAAATGTATCTGTATCTCCATCTGTGTGTATCTTTTGGGTCTTGTGTGTGTGTGTGTGGGCGTTTTTTTCAAGGAAGCCCTTCAATGTTCTTTTTGCTTTATTTTTCCACAATTATCCGCTTAAAAGCCGCTCAAAGCGGGCCAAAGCAACACTGGGCAAAGTATCTTTAAGATGCAGTAGTGCAGCAAAAAAATATCCATCAGATGTAGTAGTTCTTTTCAAGTATCTTCAAGTTACAGAAGTGCACAAAACGTCTATTAGTGACACTGTAATGCTTCAAACGTATCTTTCCTATTGGGTGTCCAGTAAAAAGTATCTTAAAAATTCAGTAGAGCAGAAGGAGCATCTTAAAAATTTATTAGTGAAAGAGTAGTAAATGAAAATTAAGTAGTTGTGCAGATACATCATCTTTTCGATTCAGTGGTGCAGTAAAAAGTATCCTCCAGATACCCGAGTGCTGTTAAAGCATCTTTAAGATGTGCAATAAAAGTTTCTATCGATATAATTAAGCGCTGTCGACAGGCAATCGAAAATAAATTTTCAATTAAACGCCCATCAACGTTCCGACAGCTATTCAGCCGCAATTGTCTTATCCCACAGACACAGATGGAGATACAGATACAAATAGAGATAGAGTGTGCCTTCTCCAGATGCAGTTGCAGCCTCTAATGAAGATGATGCGGCGCATTTTGTTGGCTGCACGAACCCTGAGACGAAATCAAGACAAAAGCCCAACAGATGGACAAATGACCAGCGGAGATACATAAAGTATCTGACGGATACGAGTCGGACAGTTGCTGTGGCCAAGAAAAAGGAGAAACCAATAAAGAGAAGAGAGAAGAGCCAGAGGAAGCAGCAGAAAGGAGATGGGAGACCAAATAACAGTGCAGCGCGTGCCATTGAACTTTGTGGTCCAAAAAAATATAACTGAAAAGAGATACTTCATTGTGTCTTGGGTATCAAAAAGATACTTGTGAAATGCCGCATGAATAATTGAACTTTTGCCAATGAAATTCGAGTACTCGA